CAATGGTCTTATGAACACCCAGGTGCAATAAACGCTCATGCGCCGCCCATACGGCCTTGCATCGCAAGGCGGATGGCACGACGATTTTATGTTGACACGAGTCAGCATCCCAATGCATCAACAAGCCGCGCTTCATGACAAATGAATTAAATTTGCCCTGTCTTGGAACCGCATTATTCGCGTGGCGACGCAACCTCAATAACGACATGTCCTCGCCCTGGTGCCGACCCCACTTCTGACACCAGTTGTAGTGTTGTAAGGACGAGCAGACTTCTTTAGGAGGCACACTCTGTTTATTGTATTATTTCCTTATACATCGCTTAACACACACAGAGGGATATTCGGTCCCCTCACCCGATACCCTAGGGAGGTACAGCCTCCAGACTTGGCGGGACTCACACGTCTACCGCTATCCTAGTCCTCCGGCTAGGACCTAGGGGAGGCTATCTGACCCACCGCTGGCCCGGTGGGTCCTGACCACTGGGTATGCCGAGCCTTAGCCCTTAGAAGGGCTGAAAGGCTGGTCCAGGGTCCTAGCTAGGCTTCAGCCCAGTCTTCTGTCTTCGTGCAGGGAGCGAACTCCCCGAGGTCCGTTGGGTCACCCGTCTTATACCCCTTCGTGGCCAGGTAGAACCAATCATACATTCCCACGTGGAACCGTCTGATTGGTTCGCACCAAACCCTGGCCACGATCCGTTTCACCTCGACTGACCCCAACCGTTGTACCCAGGGGTAATGCTGCACCGCCCTGGTGGCAACGCGGGTTACGCAACAGCGCGTAGTTAACACCTCTACACTTCTTTAACGTGTTTGATCTCTCTCACTAGACTTTCACCATCTGACACTGTTTTAGCCCGATGTATGAGCTGGATGATGATGCGAATCTGCATTCAGATAGGCATCAGTGTGCGTTTGCTTTCTGTAAACGCTGTGTTATTTTACTGTTTAGGCCATGTCCAAGCAAAAAATTTTGCAAAAGTAAAACATTACAGTAAGATTTGGCCAGAGCGCAGGATGACATTATATGACCAAGGGGGTTAAGGGGCTTTGGGGCTCATAAGGGGGCCGACGGGGCAGATTGGATCAGAACTCACCTGGAGTGGTGGAGAAACCAGCCGCCCTCAGCGTCCGTGAGACGCCTGCAGGGTGCAGCTGAAAACGATTGCCCAGGCAAAGTCTCCGAGGCGGGCATCTTCCCCAACCCCCATCGTTCAGCTGGAAAGGTGAGTAAGTATGGGGGGGAGGAGGCCGATTCAGCCCAGCTCGCAGTCAGCTCGAGCTTGGAGGATAGACGCACTCTGCGACGGCCAGGTGATAGGAGGTTAGGCGCTGTCCGAAGGGTGCTGGCTGGAGGGGGCCATAAACGGGGGTCCCCTATTCGCTCCGGGAAATAAATCTTAGCACAGACTGACGTTTGACGCGTGGTGCATGTGTGCGTGTGAAGGCCGGTGGGACAGCGATCGGCGTACGACGGTGTGTGGGCGACTATAAATCAGTGTGGGAGTGACGCGCGCATATTAAAATATCAACGGTTGCCCGCGCCGGCGTGTGTCTCTGCGCGCACCGCAGTGTTAACGGTGAGACACGCGCGAATGTCGCGCGGAGAAAACGCGTGGGTGGGGGGGGCCGCGCGAGCATCGATTAATTTATTAATATCCAGACCGCCTTGTTGACACAACGGCTTAGTGGAAATTATTAATTAAACCCCACACAGCGGCGAGTCAAACAATTACGTAATCCACGCGGTTAGGACACGCGAGTGGGGGAGAGGGCGCTGGTGCGGGGGGGGGGGCAGTCACCCGGTCGGGGGCGGAGGGGGCAGATGTCGCACCCCACCCGCTCGCGGGGAGTGGGGAGGGGAAGATCAGCCCCCACCTAACGGAGAGTGGGGAGGGGGGCATTAGCCCCCACAAATTGGTGTCAGAGGTGGTACGAACCCCCACATCCCCACGGGAGAGATGCGTGGTACTCCATGCGAAATAAGGTATGTGTTCACCGGCCAGAGGACCCCTTCATGGAAAGCGTTTGCCCGCAACATCATGGGGGCTAAAAATATTAATGGGTGGACGGACGCGCAGGCGTTACGCCAACTTACTATGAATCTGGATGGGCGGGCGGCTGACTTTGTGGAGGACCTACCCGCAAGCGCGCAATCCCAGTTAGAAGAGTTGATGCGCCGACTTGACCTGCGCTTCGGTGCGCGCGATGAGGCAAAGGCAGCCTTAGAGGCACGCTGCCGCCAACCCGGCGAGGACTTTCGTACCTATGCCGAGGGCGTGCGCACGCTAACACAGATCGCACGCCCGGGGTACACAACTGAGGTGATTGAGGACCTCGCCGCCGAGAAGATCCAGCGGTACTTGGCTCGCACCTCGTGGTGGCAGCCCGACGTAAGCTGTGCACGTCTCCCCTTCAACGCCCTTGTCGAGCGCACGCGTAAATGTGAGAGACTTTCTAGTGAGCGCGCACAGCTTCGTGGGCTGGGACGAGAGCGCGCCATCGCGAGCCTGCTCCCAGAGAAGGAAGAAGAGCTCGCCAGGACGGTAAGGGGGCGGGCAAGGCAGCCCCCGGGACCCCGCGAGACAACCCCGGGCTGGGTAGCGGGGATACAGACGGGCATCGGGGGGAACAAGGTGACCCAAATAGACAAGGTAACCCAAGTACAGGCACATATGACTACGCTGCAGACTACGGTGGAGACGGTCCAGGCCGAGGTAGGAGGACTAACTGGGAGGGTGGCCCGACTAGAGGCAGAGTCTGGGCAGCGGCGTACGGGAGGGGGAACAGGGAGCGGGCGGGGAGGCTCCTACGGGGCTGCCGCCCTTCCCCGGGCGTGTTACCTGTGCGACCGTCGAGGGCATCTCCTGCGAGACTATCCTCAGATCGCACGTGCTAGACATGCGCCAGGGTTAAACCCCCAACGCCCCCTCGAGAGTGGACCAACTAGGGATGCAATCGACACGGTCCCAACACGAAAAGACGATAATAATAATGGTGAGCGAGTGACCTCCACACAGATTCCGGCAACAACACCCAAGGACGCGGTGACGACGCGCGACTGGCTGCGGGAGCTGGTGGCGGGAATCACGGGGGCCACGTCGCTGGTAGGACAGGTGAACGGGCGGCGCACCCGGATTCTGCTGGACACGGGGGCGGTGGCCTCACTCGTGAGCGCCACACACTGCAGCGTGCTCGGAGGTGACATGGGCCGCCTGCAGGCCCTGGATCGCGCGCTGCACACGGCGAGTGGAGCCGGGATGGGACTTCTGGGGAGGGTCACCCTGGAAGTCCGTCTCGGGTGCCAGGTGTGTGACCAAGAGTTCTATGTCTCGAGCGTGTTTTGCCACGAGTGTATCGCAGGTATCGACCTCCTGGAAAAGTTTGGGCTCAATGTACAGCCCCGCCAGCGATCCGCCACCGTGGAGGGCAGCGGGGAGCAGATTCCGTTCTTGGGACGAGAGCCGGATCGCTCCCGCTTCACACCCGTGGCCGCTACCCTGGTGTCAGCCGTCACCATCGGGCCGCTCGCCGAGATGCCGGTGCCAGTGGCAACACCCTCCTCCGACCCCGCACACCGACCATCGGGTGAGGTAATGCTAACGCCTCACCCGGAGTTGGCGGCACGGTACGGGGCTGTGGGGTCAGCCACGCTGGTAAACGCAGATGGGGGCAGGGGTGGAGGGGGCAGACGTCGCACCCCACCCGCTCGCGGGGAGTGGGGAGGGGGAGATCAGCCCCCACCTAATGGAGAGTGGGGAGGGGGGCATTAGCCCCCACACAGCCAATGTATTTAATGCAGGGTGCACCAACGCATTCGCAAAAAATGTATCCACATGACACAGGCACTCACAAGGGAAAATTGAGATCATTAACACACACGGAGTGTATGACTTGCTAACATAAAACAGCAGAAGAGTGCGTGATGCATTGATGCATACATGACTACGGCTTAATAAATTTGCATACCTCTCAACCAATATGGTTTACCCGTATTCTTGTACAGGGAAATTGAGTTCAGGGCCATACGCCATACAGCCGATTCAATACGGGAAAAAACATTTATATTTGTTTGTGTTTCTCCTTCTGATGGGACTTTGTAAGATGAACGTTGAAATTTATAAGGTCACGGGGTGACCAATGAAGTCTGAATTGGTCTGTAATAAGCGAGGCACTGACAAGGGGTTGACAGGTATGCATTTGCATTAATGGCGTATGTGCTCTCTTTATACACTCATGTTGCATGTGTAGTGACATCGCTGGATGTCAACACGTTGCGTGCAGTGCCGGCCCTAGAGGGGCATGGCGTGCAGTGTAGCGACATCGCTGATACCACAGGGGTGTGGGTGTAGTACCGGCCCTCGAGGGGCTCGGTGAGCGTGAGATGGCACCATGCTTTGCGTGCAGTGCCGACCGTACAGGACAGGGTGTGTGGGTGCCGGCCGAAGGATGCGGTTACTCGAAGCCATGGCACTCTGGTTGACCCACGAGGACACGTGACCAGTTAAGTGGACAAAGGGGCCCAAGCAGGGGATAGGGGTGGCCACGTGATTGGGACCCAGATCCTTCCCAAGGATTCTGGAAGGTGGACTTGGCCAAGGGCGGAGACGGTCACACCACAGAGAATATAAGCCGGGTCCCGAGAGGGACCGGGGTTGTTGTTGTTCATCCTGGAAGAAGCCCTTCGTCTACCTTCTCCGTTCAACGAGTCTTCAAAACGTGAACCCGGACCCAAGCTGTTGGTCCACGTCCGTAGTAGCAGTTACGTTGTAGCTTGCCTGGTGGTCACCACCATAGGTTGTTATTCTGTTAAGTGGAAAGTTACCCCGTGTGTTGGAACTGAATAAATGTGTTGCCTCCAAGTCTATGTCTGCGACTCAGTTGAACCCATTGCACATGTAATGGATAAGTACTAGAGATGCTACCATTCACTGCTATGTTGAGAAAAGAAAACAGTTTTGATCACATCCTGGACCTAAATTGAATGAATAGCAAGTGGAGAAAACCGTTACATAAATTTATATCAATAACTGCATACATATTATGCATACCATGTAACGAAATATCTCCAAGAGTAGTATTTAGCTACCATTATCTACCCAATGGTAGCTCGTCAACTTTACCACACAAAACGATACAAGGAAGCTCCACTCTGCTGCACACAGCTCATAGAGACTCCACTCCCTCCCTTCAACCAGCTTAATGTACATCTAGTATGTCCAACCCCTTACTAATTGACTGCTGGATGAAGGCCTCCCCACACCGCATCACTCGTAGGGGGGGCTTGTCGATCACCACTCATATTAGCCATGCCCAGGAAACGAACTCAGTTGGTGAACCACTGTGCCACTGCTTCGTCCACATTTAGTTAAAAAAGACCGTTTTGCTATCAAGTTTTCATTGCAAAGGAGCTGCACGGTTTAGTTGTTTGCCACCATGGCAAGCCCAGACAAGTCAGTTTTCAACACCATGGAGACAGTAATAGCATATCTGCCACCAGGGGGCAGTCCTGTAACAGTTCTCAGAGGTTCAATTGCAGTCTGGGAGTGTGACGAGCAGGCATCCACCATTGAGCCACCACAAAGCAACTAACTTGACAGTAACATGTAATCACACCACAAACATTAAATACAGAATACCTATCATGATCCAAGCAACACAATAACACGTGATCACAATATATACCATATTGCACACTCAGTTTCAGTCTTCCGATACAGCCATTGAAACAATAGCCATGTTTCTTAAGTCCCACCCACCTCTTGTCCATCCAGCCTCTTAAAACTGTAATGAAAGCTCCTGTGCCAGAAGTGACACGAGCAAGAAATGTTAGGGCTGCACCTTTATCTTTACACTCAACCTTCACCGTCAAGTAAACATAATGAAAAATAAAACGTAACAAAAATGACAAAAGGGAGAAATGTTTTCACGCGGGAAATCCATCGGTCACTTCTCCGTCATCATTGCACGGGTACTTGTGCTTGAAGAACACCTTCAAGATGTCCATCTTCACCAGGTCGCACTGCCGTGGGGGCAGGCTCTTCAGCATCAGGGCCACGTGGACACCAAACGCATCATTAGCATCGTGTGGGAGCTGCAGCCTGGAGTGCAGGTCCTTGCCGGCCACGTGGTGGAGCATGTCCGGGCCAGAGTGTCCTGCCGCTCCGATCAAGCGTCGCTTCCTCGCATGGGGCACCTGCGATGATGACATGAGCAGGCAGCCCGAGTTGCTGGGGTCGGACGGCGCTCCGATGGTGTGCGAGTCAGAGGCAATCTGTTCGCAGGCGGCCAGCGCGTCGCCATTCTCGTTGTCCTGCAAGGCGCACGCATTGTTCACGTTCCTTAAATCCGCACGTCTTGTGGCCGGACCCGATCACAAAATTTCGCACGTGAAAATTTCAACCAAGTCTGACATGCGAATACGGAAACACCGACCAGATCATTGACCACATAGCATCGAAAGACAGTGAAACTATGAACGTTCAGAGGCATTGAAGTAATTAACTGCACATCAAATGATGCCACTTCCTGGATAAACGAATCTGGAAACGGATGTATAAGTCGTTATTCGTCCAGCCAAACACAGCATGAAGGCACATGGAGGCACACATGGTCATCATCACTGCTTTTATCCAGCACTTGGTTGGACCACATTGAGATAAGTTTTGCATTTTCAGTCTGGTTTACGACACCCGCCTGCTGGTCAAAACACTATTTGCAAGGGGTGGTCGTATAACATGTGGGGTTGCAGCAATGTAATTTTTCATGATACGAAATGAGATTTCATGGTAATTATTTCGACATCAATTAACTTTAACTTTGTAATTGCACTTCACATTTGCATAATTTTTCTCGTGTTTGGATGTACTTCAAATACGAATAAAGATTTGTGAATGAATGTATTCAACTGCAGGTCACTCAACAAGCCTGCCGCAAGTCTAATATCATCGCAATTTTACAACCTATAATGCTTATAACACACGTCTGAAAATTATTGTCATATAAATCGACAATTATACCTGCAAACGTTTTACAAGGCACTCATGTAATTGTTAACATCTTTTTTTATTTACTGAACTCTTAATTACTCTTTGGTTCTTTCGGTAAAGTCACATAGGTAGAAGAAAAATAATAGATCACGACGTTTCGATCGCAACACAAGCAACCGTCTTCAGCAACCGTCTTCAGGTTGCTTGTGTGGCGATCGAAACTTTGTGATCTATTCTTTTTTTCTACCTACGTGACTTTACCGAAAGAACCAAAGAGTATGGATTCCTGCAGTCACGAAAGGTTCAAATCAAGATTAAACTTTTGATCATTTCGTAAATATTTTGCAATAAAATGCAATCTTTCTGAAATGTTTAACGAGCTACAATAATCGCAGATTTAGCTAAATGAACAATACGATTAGAACGCAGGGTCGCTGAATTTCTTTCAGCCAAGAAGCAAAACAAACTGACACCTTTATTCAAGGCATCATGTTTGCAATAACCACAACACAAGCAGTCAAAATGCAAACAGTTAAAAGGGTAAAACCTATTACTATGTCTTGTTACTGGCAAAGGAGGTCTCATAATGTAAATGCTCACCCCGAGCCCTCAATAATCTGATAGTGCGCTGTTTTTGAGTTGTACGCCTTTTGGCGTCTTCTGGTCCAACACCAATGGAGACTAGGCTCTAAGAAAAGCCATCTCGGGTGTGGACCAATCAAATTCAAGAACAGTGCATATGATCAGAGTTGTCTTTTTTGTTTGCATTTTGACTACTTGTGTTGTGGTTATTGCAAACATGATGCCTTGAACAAAGGTGTCATTTTTTGTGCCAGTTAAAAGGGTAAAACCTATTACTATATCTTGTTACTGGCAAAGGAGGTCTCATAATGTAAAAGCTTTAGCATTGCTCGTGGAAATGGCAAGCAGTAATACTCTTTAACCCCACGTGACTGTGACGCCTGCCATCATGTGAATTGTCTCGTGTACCTCCTAGTAATGTCACGCGTACTCACAGCCACAGGTCAGGTATCAATGCACTGTATTATTGAGAACAGTGAAATCGTACCGAAGTGCTAAGTTGCAGAGCGGCATTCGTAACGACCGAGAGGGACGCCCGCTGCAGACTGCTGATGTTCCCTCTGGTGCAGTACGCATTGCGGATAAAGCACATTTTGTCGAAATGCACCCAACGGGGAATGTACTGCTTGTTGGAGTCCGACCACAGCTCTTTACACTGGTCCTGCTTGCGCAACTCCCTGTAGTAGCTGCCTCGGAGCACCTTCCACTTGGTCTTGATGTCCTCTTCTGCAAGAATGAGAACGAACATGGGGACAGAGCCGCCGCTGAGCCTCACATCCGATACAAATCATCATAATTATCGTGTCTGGTTTAAAAACTGGTGGATCGCATACTGCAACGACAACAACTTGCATTTATATGGCATCTGCAATTTAACAGTTTCATTAATGCCAATAGACCCCCTGATGGCATCTGTCCCTGCATGGCACAATATGGGCATTAGTCTGCCAGGAGGAGGTGATATTGCTACTGGTTTTTCTAATTAAGTACGTAACTTGCGAGATGTTTATCAAATTTGGACCCATTATGGTGGCACACATAGCCTACGCTACTTTTGTTGGCACTATGCGCCTAGAAAAAAAATATATCCACATCTGATGTTTGCACATTGTGGTGCAAAAAAAATTGGCCTGTGTAACACGTGCACTTCTTGAACTGGAAAACTCTGGAGTGCAAGTCCAGTGTGCTACCCTCATTACATCAGTTCAGCAACCCAGGAGATCAAACTCCTAATTAATAATTACAATAATCTTTGCATTTACATGGCAATCAAATCGCTCAGCATCACCAAGTGCTTACATCTCATCTCAACCAATCGAAGTCTACCCCCAGTGGCAGCTGTCCAAGGTGACTTGGCACCAACCTGCAAGCGTGCATTAGGCTGGCTGCCCGTAGCGGGTGGTGATTGCGACGTGTAATCCCAATTGAGTAATCTCTGCAGGTAGTTTTTAAATTATGGACCACAATGCCAGCACAAAGCGGGTTGCTCTCTTGTACTGACGTGACATGACCGTCAACAATCCCCGCAGTATTACGCAGGGCGGCCTTCCAGATACGAACCAAAAAAAATCCTTTGCAACGTGCCGCGAACGCTGGGGGCTACGTCACTGGCCCATTGACTGAAAGGAGCCAGGCTGTGCACTATTCACGCACACCTCTGAAAGGGATTCCCTGCGAGTCAACGCCAAGGAATTGCCGCAGCTCACTAAGTCGTTCCGATCTCATGTCCTGCCTGAAGTAGTCGGGGTCGGTGTCATTCCACAGCAGCCGATTGTCTGCGAAGACACGAAGCATCCACACAACCACCTTCATTACACGACTCCCACGCGTGAATATGTAACAATGGGGTAACGTTGAAACGATGGTAAACATTGAACACGTGTCATTACAGTACTTGCTTTCAGATGCGCTTCTGCGGCCGTCTGGAACGCCCTTCCGTCCGATATCAGGAAGCCACTGGAGCTATCCCACTTTTAAATCGTCTAGATTTAAAACAAATTTCTTTAAGAACTCCTTTCTAGGTTTAGTTTCGTGTCCTTCCCCAGCACCTCCGCTTAGCACGGTTGGCTACGTACGGCGCGAAAGAAGTTCAACACACATACATTGCTACGTTCAATTCACAAACTGTCACACGAAGCAAACCGAATGGCTGAATCACTTAGAACCGAATCTCTAACGGTGGCTCTACCATTGGCAATACAATATCACCATTTTTTATTTAAAGCTTTCGTGACTGCAGGGATTCATATTCTTGGTTCTTTCGGTAAAGTCACCACGTAGAAGGGAAACAATAAAATAATAAAAATTATATAAAACAATACAATTCTCACGACGTTTCGATTGCAACACAAGCAATCATCATCAGGTGTGAAACCCACAGCAAGAAAATAACAAAAAATGTTGTTGTGGTTTTCACACCTGATGATGATTGCTTGTGTTGCAGTCGAAACGTCGTGAGATTTTTATTGTTTTATATTTTTATTACTTTATTGTTTACCCTTCTACGTGACTTTACCGAAAGAACCAAGAATATAACATCACCGTTTGCTTGCTATGCCATGGTGTCAACGGACACCCTTGCAACCCTGATGTTCCATCTCTCTAGGGATACCACAATATCCACGATAACCGATCGCACCATCAGTGCTGGAACACAGTGCAATATATCGCGGTTACCGTTGGCCCGTGTAATGTTTAAAGTGAATAGTAAATAACGTTAATTACGGCGCGAATGACGACGTTGCTGCGTTATTGGATTTGAATATGGTGATGTCGCTAGCATTAACTGAAAACTCGCACGGCTAATGAGTTAAATTTCAAAACAAAAGTACAACAATAATAGTTTTTTTTTTAAGAGTTGCGTCGTTGTTTAAACGCGAACCGCCGTGGCGGCTGTCATTCTTTCACCGGGAAAAAGCGCACCGATCCACGCAAGCGGCCTAGGAAAGACGCTTAAAGCCTAATTATATAGGCCCACCCCCCCCCCAAAAAAAAAACACGTACACAGCGCGCAATTTTACGCTCAGTGAACGCCGTCACGACGAACACGAAGGAGTAGTCAGGCACCTTGGAAGAAATCGATGAGGAGGCTCTCCTTGCCGGTGTCCCACTTCACCTTCCTCCGCGACTCGACGTTCCCGGGCAGCTGGGAGCAGTAGGGAACCGCCATGGAGGCTCAGGGACCGCGACGAATCACGCGCAGTGGTGAGCCTCGCCAAATATGGGCAGACCTCGCCGAACGTGGGGGGGGGGGGGGTTACGTTCTTGGGGGGGGGGGTGGAAAAAACGTGTTGGGCAAAACCACGTTCGACAAAAATGAGCCCTGTGGGAAAGATAGCGTTGCGTTCCTGGGTCCGTAAAGGTTCATCCCCTCCCTCTTTGTTTAACTAATTTTTTTTTTAAAAATCCCTTCCTGTATTGATATTGGTCGGGAAAGCCTACGTATTAAACTGATTCCACGTGACTTCCTACCTTATTATTATTATTATACAAAAGGATGCCGAGTCGCTTTTCATTCTTGTGTGTATACACTATTTTTCAATTTCACCTCAACACAATACCTCCGTCTCCATTACTCTTCCCGGCACCCACGCCCAACACTAGCTCCTGACATTGAATTTCCAGCCCGACGCTCGCCCCTAACACCGTCACTTGAACATTAATGATTCGCGTCCGTACGACTGAAGGCTAGATGCTTGCATGTGGCAACGTGAACATGTGTGAAGTGTATTTGTGCGTGTTGAATACGTGTTACATCATCACACAAAACATACACAAAATATACTGTGATAAATAAATCGTTCCCACAGTTGATTCATTCACCCTCCAAATGAGACTATCCTGGTCTCTTGAGTTCTTTCTTAATGACACAAATAAACTTCACTTTTTTCAATAAGTGAACAGAAACACAGGTCGTAAAATACAATAAATTTTATTTACATTTGTATAAAACTCAAGATTGAAAGAACACAAATTTCCCATGAAAAAAAGGCCATCACAGGAAGCCACTGCTGTGGTTGTTGCCACATCAGTGTGACTTGAGCGGCTGTCCACATACAGGCTCCAGCACATGGAACACTATGGCCAAGGCTATGGCCACCAGCAGTGCCAGCAGGGAGAATGTCAGCAGCACGTAGCGCCCGATGAAGAACTCGTCTGTAATCTGCAACATACACACACACACGTACAATGACCACAATAAAACCCATATTTCCCTCTCATAGTCCCTACTCAACCATGACAGATTTTTTAAAGTGCCCAGCCCAAGAACTGACAAAAATACAGAGGCAGCTCTAGACACTTCAAAAGGGGGGGGACGGGACATTATACATTATAACAATATTGCAAGGGAGTTCATGTTAAGTCATACTTTACTCTGAATAAATTAGATAGTCCCCGAGTTACGATGGTCCGCCTTACGATATTTCGATCTTACGATGGCGATACGACAAAATTGTAAAAAATTTAAAATTTCGCGCGGCAGGCAAACGCAGCAGCGTACGAGGTACGATACTATACGTTGGGACGCTGCCGGGATGTACGCATCTCCCGCCTTTCTATGAAATTGCAGTTCATATAGGTAGCCTAAGAATTTACCTTGTTTTTTTTTACTTTACATTTTACTGTGCAATACAATATTGTAATTAATAAATACATACAGTATATAGTTTATACAGTACGGTACTGTAAATTGCTCTGTTTTGCTTAAATTATCACCATTCTTCAAGACTCCTGGGTAGGCTAGGCCATCTTCGACTTTATTTACTTACGACGGGGTCGTCGTAACGTATCTCCATCGTAAGTAGAGGACTACCTGTCCTCCGCAGTTTGCAGGTGTGTGCAGTAGTCGAATGATAACTGACCACAGGCTCTTTCACGACAGGCATGGAGGGCGTCTGCTTGGGAAAGAAGACCAGGACGAGGGTGATGATGACGACCAAGAGAAAAACACCCACCGATACAAACCTAAATGCGTGGATGACACAATGTAATTTTAGCTCTGTAAGATAACGTCTCCATCTTTGTTAAAGTAATTATTTAATAAAGCCAATACATTGTATAATTGCACAAGTGCAAATGGAATCCAAAAAGATGTTTTAGTAACAATTTGTTTTTGCTTCCTTTAATTCATTGATTGAAGTAGATGATTACACTCACATCGGCAAGCGAATCCAATGTTTTGAAATCTGTACCTAGGTATGAAATTTCATGCAATGACAGGGTGACTGAGATACAGCAGTTAATAAATGAACGGAAAAATCTGCAGTCTCAACCTCAATGGCCGTGAAGCACGGGACATCAGCACACACAGCAGCAGGGACAGCACCCACAGAAACACCAGCACAAAGAGGCCCACTCCAATGCCCAGAATCCGCGGGCTGTCCATCACTCTGGTCCTACGCCACCTTCTGGACGCAAAACACATTAACCATACAAAACACACTAGTGATGAGTTTCCGATTTAAACATTTGGGAATTTTGGATTCAGAAGTACAAAACCATGGACGTAATATAATTCTCAAGACATTTTTCAGGGCGGTCTAGCATTAACATGTGTGGCCAATTAATGTTTCAAGTGTGGTGCTTTCCGGAGGAAATCGGAAGTACTGTACTATAAAACTCAAACGTAAAAATAGCCGAGGATCGTTGTCATTTATAGCAATGTGACAGCCCCCTTTGAGAGTAACCATCTCTTGCCCCGACCATCTCACAGCTCAGTGGGTTCGGAAGTTCCATAGCTTAAGATGATCTCAGTGTGTCTGTATTCTCGGAGCACATCACGGCAAAACAGATACGAAGTGGTTTCTCATTCGAGGCGGTGCCCATGTCCTGAGCCAGTGGTGGCGGCCAGTACGTCCAAATGATATACATGATGAAAGTACATTTCATATAACCGTAAACTCATGAAGGACATCAACAAAAACTTTTAAATTATTCTGAAATTAACATTTCCGTTTTCAAGTGTAGTCAGTTGACGGTCTCAGCCCATTCACCACTGACTGCACAAAACAGCATCACATTAAATTAGTTTCTGCAAATAATTTGGCTAAATTCCAGCTGAGAATGAAATAAATATTGGTTCGACAGTATTTAGACAAACATGACTCTGCAGCAAGGCGGTTCATAAAGTGCTACCCCCTCCTCTTGTCTTGACCAGAGGTCACTGGAAGGAATTTCAGAAATAGCTCTGAGATCGCCTTCCGCGGACCGCTCTGTAACACACGGGGTGGTGCGCTGCTCACTGCAACATCCGAATTATTTGACTGGAGCCGATAGCACAATCGGGAAGTCGTGGCTATCCACGTGGCCTGTGATCTAGCAATGTAGATCCAGAAGCGAGGGTTTGTGGATCACCACACCAATAATAATACGTTTTTTTTACCCTTTTTTCTGGCAACAAAACTGACACCTTTTTTTTACAAGGAATCATGTTTCCATTAACCACAATACCTGCGGTCGAAATGCAAACAAAAAAACAACTCTGATCATGTATGCATTGTCCTTGAAATTGATTGGTCCACACCCGAGACAGCTTTTCTTAGAGCCCTGTCTCACACGGTGTTGGACCAGATGATGCCAAAAGGCGCACAACACCAATGTTGTAAAACTCCCTTCTCATGGGCACCGTGAAAGTGCCACAAGGTAGTACAGCAAGAGGTCTAATCTTTCGATTTAAAGCTTTCGTGACTGCAATGATTCATCTTCTTTGGTTCTTTCGGTAAAGTCACGTAGAATGAGAATAAAATAATAAATTGATAAAATAAAATAACAATAATATTCTCACGACGTTTCGGCCACAACACAAGCGGCCTTCATCAGGTGAAGGGAGCGAGACTGTCTGGTAGGACAGCGCTGGAGTGAGAGAGCCACGTTCAGATCACGGCTTTTAAGCTGTGTGAGAGGAACAAAGAGCCTTGACGAAGGAATTAGCATAAAATTTAGCATTGAAAAGGCTGAATGATTAGCTTGTGACTGGTCACAGAAATAGCTATGTTAAAAGTTAAAGCATACACATCCGCAGAGGCACCCATTGTTAAAAGGAATTAGCATAGAATTTAGCATTGAAATAGCTAAATTAAGGCATTCGCTTGTAACTGCTACAGAAATAGTTACGTTGAAGTCAGAGCATACACATTCACCGAGGCACTTAGTACAAATCAAAACAGGAGAATTTAGCATTGAAATAACTAGGCGAATTTAGCATGGAAATAACTGGGTGATTTGCTAGTGACTGGTCACAGAAATGACTACAAATCTGAGCTATTCACAGTACTATATAGTGAACCAATAAAAACTAAAATATAAATTACCTTCATGTTATCAATAAACTCTATATTCTCCAATCAGCTAAGCTACCAACCATAAGTCGTTATATAACACAATGCTATATGGCGAAAAAATGGGTGGATTCTTACCCTCAAATTTCCGTACCACGGATAGCTACGGGCCCCGTTCAGACGGACGAGTTCGTCCATGGTCGGAACAGAGGAGGGGGAGAGAGACAGCTGCGAAGCCCTAGTATACTCCATGTTGTAAACCATACCATTAACCGTGGTGTGAGAGGTATTAAGAGGCAATGCTGGCGAAATGAGCTGCGGTCTGAAGGTCATCGTAAAATTACAATTAATTAAGAACAGAAATGATTTAACACATCTTTCCAGTGGTTACTGAGCCTGAATCCATCTTCTCGGTTGAAATTGTCTCTGTGCTTGTATATGTGAATGGCCTCATGAACGAATCTCTCATGGTAGCCAGTTGGTTTGCAAAGAACCTCCGTCTTGGAGAAGTCAATGTCATGTGAGCCCACTGAATTGTAACAGTGATCTGCCACGGCAGAGGAGTTCGTCTTACCGTGTTTCAAGTCTGCTTTATGTTCGCGGATGCGATCCGAGATATGTCTTTTGGTTTCTCCAATGTAGCTACTACCACAGAGGCACTTTAGTTTGTAAACGCCCGGGTACTGTATGTCTGGAAGAGCATCTTTTACAGATGGAACTAAATCACGGATTTTGTGTACTGTGTTGAATCGGACCTGGATCTTGTGTTTATTCAGGATTTTGGAGATCTTTTTAGTGACCCCTGCAATGTAGGGTAAGGTGATGGTTTTGAGTGGCTCCACAAGAGGATCCTTCTTCATGACTGGAGTGATGGCTTTGCGGATTGTGTAGTCGGAGTAGCCATTAGCCCTGAGAGCCTGGTGTACGTGTTTGAGTTCACTGGTAATGTGTTCCTGGTCGGAAATGCATTGGGCTCTATGGTATAGAGTCTTGATGAGGCAGTTCTTCTGGGATGGATGGTGGTGGGAATCCGGTTTCAAGTAAGCATCTGTATGGGTAGCTTTCCTGTAGACAGAGTGGCTCATTGAACCATCATGTCTCCTTTTAATTAAGACATCCAGAAAGGGTAGTTTGCCATCTTTTTCGACCTCCATGGTAAATCTGATGGCTGGGTGTATGGAATTGATGTGGTCGCGGAATTGGTCTAGAGCAGGCTGGCCATGTGGCCAGATGACAAAGGTGTCATCAACGTACCTCTTCCATAAGGTCGGGCGTAGAGTGGCAGTCTGGATGGCGTCAGTTTCAAATTTTTCCATGAATACGTTGGCTACAACCGGAGATAGGGGGATCCACACACCGAAAAGATAGACGTCAACAAAGTCGTAATTAATCGCAGTAACAGTTCCATTTCTGATGGTCTGAAATCCGTTTTAGCTAAAGGTCTAAACTTTGCTGTCACACCGAGACACTTACCGGTTAATGATATCATTGCCCATGTCGACGTTGCACTCAAGGGCTTGAGTCACATCTCTGCAGACGTAGCAAGATCTGAAATCGCTGCAACCCTCAAAAACGCTAAGTTGCCACCTAGCAACATCAGCAAAGACGAACGTTTTGAATTATCTCAATTAAAAAAGAGGGATGATATTGTCGTTCTCTCAGCCGACAAAGGCAATGCCACTGTCATCATGGACAAAACAGAATATAACAACAAAATTCAAGAACTACTCAACGATGGCAGCTATACAAAAATAAAAAGAGATCCCACCAACAGCCTGGTCACCAAAACGAACAAAATTATCTCTGATTCAACAGCATTAATTGATGAGAACAAACAGTTCTTGTTGAAACCCTCTGCTGCCAGACCACCAAGATTATATGGCCTTCCAAAGATACACAAAGAAGATACACCCCTTCGTCCCATCGTCTCTACTATCAGCTCCCCCACCTACAAACTGGCACGTTTTCTGGCTGATATACTGCGACCTTTCACTGGAAAAACCACCTCTGCGGTACTAAATTCTACTCACCTGGTATCGACAATCAAAGACATTTCCCTGTCCCCAAACGACCTGCTTGTCAGTTTTGATGTGGTGTCCTTGTTCACCAAAGTCCCGGTACCTGACACCATCGCTATCATTGAAGACCTGGTTCATCAAGGACTGCATACTGATGTACCCCCCCTGGTGAGACATTGCTTAACCAACACATACTTCACCTGGAATGGAACTTTCTACAAACAAACTGAGGGCACCCCAATGGGCTCCCCCCTATCTCCGGTTGTAGCCAACGTATTCATGGAAAAATTTGAAACTGACGCCATCCAGACTGCCACTCTACGCCCGACCTTATGGAAGAGGTACGTTGATGACACCTTTGTCATCTGGCCACATGGCCAGCCTGCTCTAGACCAATTCCGCGACCACATCAATTCCATACACCCAGCCATCAGATTTACCATGGAGGTCGAAAAAGATGGCAAACTACCCTTTCTGGATGTCTTAATTAAAAGGAGACATGATGGTTCAATGAGCCACTCTGTCTACAGGAAAGCTACCCATACAGATGCTTACTTGAAACCGGATTCCCACCACCATCCATCCCAGAAGAACTGCCTCATCAAGACTCTATACCATAGAGCCCAATGCATTTCCGACCAGGAACACATTACCAGTGAACTCAAACACGTACACCAGGCTCTCAGGGCTAATGGCTACTCCGACTACACAATCCGCAAAGCCATCACTCCAGTCATGAAGAAGGATCCTCTTGTGGAGCCACTCAAAACCATCACCTTACCCTACATTGCAGGGGTCACTAAAAAGATCTCCAAAATCCTGAATAAACACAAGATCCAGGTCCGATTCAACACAGTACACAAAATCCGTGATTTAGTTCCATCTGTAAAAGATGCTCTTCCAGACATACAGTACCCGGGCGTTTACAAACTAAAGTGCCTCTGTGGTAGTAGCTACATTGGAGAAACCAAAAGACATATCTCGGATCGCATCCGCGAACATAAAGCAGACTTGAAACACGGTAAGACGAACTCCTCTGCCGTGGCAGATCACTGTTACAATTCAGTGGGCTCACATGACATTGACTTCTCCAAGACGGAGGTTCTTTGCAAA